GACCCCGTCAAACTGCAAGAAAAAATAGCTGGCACTGTAGTGGGTGCCTGTAGTCTCAGCTACTTGGGAGGCTGAGGCAAGGGAATCGCCTACGCCTAGGAGCTGGAGGTTGCCGTGAGCTATGATGCCATATAACTCTACTGAGGGAGACAAAGTAAGATTCTGTCTCTTTTAAAAAAAAAAAAAAATTAAAGAAAGCTTAAGTTTAAAAGGAGCACAAATTTTGGAGCCAAATGGCTTAAGTTTTCTTTTTTCTTTTTTTTTGCAGTTTTTGGCTTGGGCTAGGTTTGAACCCGCCACCTCTGGTATATGGGGCCAGCACTCTAATCCTTTGAGCCACAGGTGCTGCCCCCAAATGGCTTAAGTTTAAAACCTAGCTTCTACCCCTCTGCCAGCTATTTGTCCCTTAGGTGGATTTCTTAATATCCATATGCCTCAGTTTCCTCATCTCTAAAATGGACATGATAGTCTTTCCCCTACAAGAAGACTATACTTGGAAGATTAAATGAATGATGACTGCATATAAGGTGCTTAGCACAGTCCTTGGCACATAATAAATGCCCAATAAATGTCACTGTTATCACTATTTCTTTGATATCATCATCATCAGTTGCATAGATGTAGAGGAGTTGGGAGTTCTTGGGAGCATGGCAGAGGGCAGCCTTGATTGGGGCCATGTAAGTGTAGTCACATCAGAAGGGCTTACAGAAGCCCACAGGGCATGCCTGGAGATTGGCAAGTCAGGCTGAGTGGAGAGACATGAGGCACATGGTGTTCACAGGGCAGCCATCTGTGCCTTTGCAGGTCACCAGTGCTCCTGGTCGTGGGAACCCAGCCAGTGATCTTGAGGGGGGTCCACTGACTGGGAACCAGGTACAGGGTCTCACTGAATCTACAATAGCACTATGAGATTGGCACTGTCACCATCCTCAGGTCACAGAATAGAGCTCAGGTACAAAGAGAGCAAGAGAGCTGCTGAAGGCCACACAGTGGAGCCGGTGCCCTTCCCTAGGGGACAGTGGAAGAGCTGGACAGGGGCTGGGTACCTGATTTCCTGAGGGAGCTTCTCAGTCTCGCACCTCTGGGGTATGAGTTGCTGGGGCTTAGCATGAGAACAATGACCAGATCTTTCCCTCCCTGTCATTGAAGGATTATACAGTGCGTGGCCTCCTGGGCAAAGCCACGGATGACTTCTGTGAGGATGGGCGGCTGGTGGAGAAGACCACATATGGTGAGATCCCAGGGAAGCTGCCACTGCCTCCCTCCAGGTTTGGTTTGGTTTGAGTCCTGTCCCTTACCTGGGCCACACTGATCCCTTATCAGTTACTCTTGACACACCAAACTCCGGCTGGGACTTTGGACACGTTATCTGCCTTCTAAGAACAACCTGTGCTTACCTCCTCACCTGGCTCAAGTGTCACCTCCAATCTGGTTTCTCTTCAGATGGTATAAATTTTTCACCTTTTCAAAAGTCACCTCCCTAGAGAAACCTTCTCCACTTCCATACTTGGACTGGATAGCCTCTCAGGATAGTGACTAAAGATTTGTGATCACTAAATGTCTGTGTTCCCACCAGACTCACCCATGAGGTCAGGGATGATGTGGTTCACCCTCTGGTCTGGGAATTAGGAGGGCTTATTCGATGCGGACAGGGGGTGGATAAAGGATGGATGGCTCATTCTTCATTTCCCACTCTACCCATGTTCTAACACATTCCATGGGATCTATTGCATTTGCTCATTTGACAGATGTTTTTTGGACCTAACCATGTGCCAGGCACTGGGCGGAGGGGGGAACATATGGTGAATCAGACAGAGTCCCTAATCTTGATGAATCTAGCCTAGCACACACCCCTGCATCTCCTGTAGAAGGCAGAAAACATCTGGTAAAGTGACACTATATATTCGTACACATCAGTATGTGTTAACACCCAAGAAAACACCTAGAATTGGTTACCAAGTTGACAGTCCTATGAGGAAGCTGGAATTTGTGGGGATGGGAAGGAATGATACTGCTCATCTACATTTTTTTTTCTTGAGACAGAGCCTCACTCTGTCATCTCAGCTAAAGAGAAATGGAATAATCATAGCTCACTGTACCCTCAAACTCCTGGGCTTAAGTGATCCTCCTGCCTCAGCCTGGCACTGAGTAGCTGGGACCATAGATGTGTGCTTTTTATAGAGACAGGGTCTTGCTATGTTGCTCAGGCTGTTCTGCTCTGTAACTTCTGGGTTTAAGTGATTCTCCTGCCGCAGCCTCCAGAAGTGCTGGAATTATAGATGTGAGCCACCATGCCCAGCCTAGAAGGTGATGTACTTAGCCTGGAGTCTTGATGGGTTCTGGGGATCTGAGACCGCCTTGAAAATGCCCTCAATGTTACTTTCACATGTATCTTTCTTTCTTTTATTTTTATGAGACAGAGTGTCACATTTTCACCATTGGTAGAGTGCCATGGCATCATAGCTCATAGCAACCTCAAATGCTTGGGCTCAAGTGATCTGCCTCAGCCTCCTGAGTAGCTTGGACTACAGGTGCCCACTATATATGTCCAGCTTTTTTTTT